TCTGCTGATAGTCTCATAGAAGTTCCCTTGTATGTAATAAGTTGTTTTTCTCTTGATGCTTTTAAGATTCTCCTTGTCTTTAGCTTTTGACAGTTTAATTATAATGTGCCTTGATATGGGTCTCTTTGGGTTCATCTTATTTGGAACTCTCTTGGTTTCCTGGATCTGGATGTCTGTTTCCTTCCCCAAGTTAGGGAATTTTTCAGCCATTATTTCTTCAAGAAGGTTCTCTGTCCTTTTCTCTCTCTTCTCCTTCCACTTGATGTTGTCCCTTAAGCCCCTTAAGCTATCTTCACTCTTTTTCATTCTGTTTTCATTTTGCTGCTCTGATTGGATGAATTCCACTGCCCTGTCTTCAAGTTCACTGATCCTTTCTTCTACTTCATCTAGTCTGATACTGAACCCCTCAAGTGTATTTTTCAGTTCAGTTATTGTATTCTTCAGCTCTGTGACTTCTATTTGGTACTTTCCTCTATTTTATCTCTTCGTTGAAATTCTCACTTTGTTCATGCATTGTTCTCCTGACCTGGGTGAGCATCTTTATGAGCATTATTTTGAACTCTTTATTACGTAAATCACTTATCTGTGTTTCATTAAGTTCTTTTTCTGAGGTTTTGTCCTGTTCTTTCATTTGGAATATATTACTTTATTTTTTCATTTTCCATGACTCTCTGTGTTAGTTTCTATGCATTAGATAAAACAGCCACCTCTCCAAGTCTTAAAGGAGTGGGCTTATGTTGGAGGTAAACTTTCTCTTAACTAGTTTTTAAAAAGATATTGAGAGAAAATATAAAATTTTATTCAAAGAATGCATTCCCCTTATTAATGCTTTCTAGATGCCATTATTATCTTACCTTGTTAAGTATGCATGCTCCTTATTAATTGCTATTTCTTATTATAGTAGCACTATTATCTTACCTTTTATGTATAGTTATACATGCTATTGCAAAAGTAGTGTGCTTGTATTAATAGAATCATAACAGTTAGTATGAAACCTTTCAGCTATTCTCAGTAATAAATTTAAAGTGATTGACTTATGCCTTATTTCTAGATGATTGAAGTATGTACAGTAAAATTTCAACCAAAAAAATCTCAGAGGAAATTGCTTTTAAAGGTTTTGTTGTTATTGTTTTTGTTGTTTGATTTATTTAACTAGATGCAATAAGTTTAAGACCTGTAGCATAAATCCTGTTGTAATAAAGATATAAGCATGTTAGTAGACTAGTATATAAAAATTGGGCAAAATACCTTATTAGATAGAAATTTTTCCATTTTATTATCTAGGGATAAGTTTAGTTTCTTTTGTGATATTTATGTTAAGGTTTATTTTGAAGATGTAAATTATTTTCACAAATATTGTCTCATTTCAAAAAAGGGTTTGTTTCTTTCCTAGAATTCTCTATCTATACTTATTTGTGATCTTACCCAGTCTCATGGCTTTAAATATAATGTGTGTGCTCATGACTCCCTAATTTTTATCTCCAGCTCAAAATTATCGTCTGGCCTTACAACTTGTTTACCCAGTTGCCTACTCAATATCATCAAGTATCATCTGGTACTTGACGTATCAGACATAACATGTCCAAAACTGAATTTCTTATCCCCCCCAACCAAAAAATTATAACCCACCTATACCTTCCATATTTCCCATCTCTATTAATGGCAAATCTGCCCTTCCATTTGCTCAGTCCAGACACCTTAGACTTATCCTTGACTTCTCTCCTACCTCACATTTGTGGGCAAATCCTATTACCTTCAAAATATATCTAGCATCTGGCCCCTTCTTCTGACCTCTTCTGTTGCCATCATGGTCCAAGCCATCTTTATTTTTTATCTGGATTATTCCTTCCAGCTTCCACCCTTGTTTGCCTACAGTCTATTTTCCTTAGCCTGAGTGACCTATTAAACAAAAATCAGATCATATGTCATGTCTCTTCTCTGAACCCGTCAGTGGTTCCTCATGTTTTCCAGAGTAAACATCAAAGTTCTTACACTGGCTTACAAGGCCTTACACAGTCTTTTCCCCACTCCACCTTCCTTCTCTGACTTCATCTTATACTATTTTCTGTCACCCTGGCTCTCTTGCTTTTTCTCAAACAGAAGGCACCATCTGCCTCAGAACCTTTGCACTGACTGAAACACACTCTGTGGATGCCTACGGGCTACAGTCTTTCACCTCTCTCAAGCCTTTGCTCAAATGTCACCTTTTCCACGAGCCCCTCCTCTACCCCATTTGAGAGTTCAACCCCTCTCACTTACCATGCTCTATTTGCTCTCGAAAGCACTAGTCAAATTCTAATATACAGCACTATGTAACTTACGTATTTGTTATGTTTATTTTCTGTGGTCTTTTTTCTTCTAGTAAAAGTCCTACAAGGGCTAAGAGTTTTGACTGTTTTGTTCACTGATGTATCATCCAGTGCACCGACAGTGCTTGGCTATAATTTTTGATGAATGATTGCATGAAGGAATGTATTTGTGAAACTCTTACATGGCATGTTATGTGCACACACATATGTATGTTTATATAGTAAAACTGCTAACATAAGTTTTATTTCAAAGTATTTCCTCTTAAATTGGGTTTGTGGGGTATATAGAATCTGTTGGCTAAGGCACATCTGACTTTCCTTCATTTGAGCTTTTTGTATATGTGGCAAAAGGGGGTTAACATGTGAAATATCAAAACAACCTGTGTTTAAAACCATTTTCAGCTTCAGCAATGATTGTTGTAAATACCTGTACGTTACTAACATAGAATTTTTTTAAACATTATTATTAAACTGGAAATTTAAAGAGAAATTGTAGACATTGGAAAATTCAGGTTTTTAATTTTAGTAATCCCATTCTAAGCTTAGTAGGAATTTTTCTTTCTCCCCTTTTTTCTTAAACTTTAAACACATGCTTTTTTAATGTAATTTAAGATAGAGAAATAGTTAATCTTTTAAGTGAAATGTTATTGTCAGACAGCTGTAGCACTTATACCTACTATTAGCCTAGAAATTGTACAGCATTTGGTCCTTTTAGGATAAGCATATCTGTGAACTCTTTCCCTTATTAAAAGGCTGCTTGATAAGTACCCTTGAATCCGACCAACATAATACATTAAGCTTGATATATTTCCCAAATCCAATTTTCCTTCTTATGACAAACAGCACTACTGCCAAACATTTCCAGTTTATTCTGATGGAGAAGATTGCCTGTTTCTTCACTGATTTAAATGTACTCTTACATAGGAACATATTAGTCAGATTTGCTAGCTGATTATTAGTTGCATTCAACGTGACTCTGAATTGGTAAAAATATAAAACACTATAATCTGCTAAAGAATTATATGACAGCATTATGAAAATACCTCTCTGGAGTTCAGTTTTCACTGTTAAAATGTGACATTTAGAGTAGTTTATCTATGGTGGCTTTCTTCTACAATTCTAATAAAATGAATAGTCACAAATCTTAAGAAAATTTAGGGCCGGCCCGGTGGCTTAGCGGTTAAGTGCGCGCGCTCCGCTGCTGGCGGCCCGGGTTCAGATCCCGGGCGCGCACCGACGCACCGCTTCTCCGGCCATGCTGAGGCCGCGTCCCACATACAGCAACTAGAATGAGGTGCAGCTATGACATACAACAATCTACTAGGGCTTTGGGGGGAAAAATAAATAAAATAAAATCTTTAAAAAAAAAAAAAAAAGAAAATTTAGACTGAATTCTGGATTCCAGCTAAATAATCTTGTCATGCCAGTAAGCATCGATCTTCAGCTAGGTAAATAAATCCCCATATATCATTCAATCAAATAGGTTTTGATTTAGTTAAATGCAGTTACAGAGGAATTGCAGTATCCAAAAATATACATACTCAGAGATCTCATGTGACTTTGTGTTGTGAGATTCATTTTTGTGTAATATAAAACAAGTTTTCCCTGGAAGGAAATGTGCTTGTTACAGAGCATAATTCATTTGTATCCAGCTTTTGAGTTATTAAATGTAATATTTTTTCAGAGTTTAGCAGACAAATGAAAGTAAAAAGCACCAACGTTGAGTATCTGTTACTGAGAAAACTGCTTTATATTTACAGAGTCTTATCTCAACCCATGGTGAGAGCTACCCGTTCTTATTCCATCCAGAGACAATGTGAGGAAAAAAACCTTCATAGTGGGATTGGTGCTGGTTAGGTGGTCAGCATTCTGAAGTATAAAGAGTTGACACTAAATACAGTCCTGAGGAAAAAAATGAACTCTCTTCTCTGGTCATATGTTTATTGATCTTATAGTTTAACAAAAGGAAAAATGTTGATAGAAACACCTGGAAATCACTGATAACCACAGGGTTTATGGCAAGTTTTTATTTGGTGCGTAGCTGAAAATTAGACTTAAAGGCTGAAATGACCCAAGTCCTCTGAAAATATCCTATGTGCTGTGTTGGTGTACTCAAGATTTTCTTATGATACTATCATGTCTGGATAGTTTGTGCTTTTGTAATGGAGTTAGGAAAGAGATTAGCTTATCCAAGTCCCATAGTAGACCGTTGGCCTGAACTCAACGTCATATTCACTGCTAGGAATACTAAACACTGAGAGAAGGGTGTTTAGCTGTGTTTCAAATTATAGAAAATAGGGATAGTCTTAGGATCTTTTATCTTGTTAATCATAAGAAAAATGTAAAAAAAAAAGGCATAGGTTTGCTGATATGCTCCCAATTTATAGACAAGGATCAATTGATAAAATAACTGTTTGTAATACAGCATTAAACAGCAACTTTAGATTTAACATGTTTTACCCAAATTAAAAACTTTATTGGTAAAGATGGTATTAGTATTATTATTTTTTCCTTTACCGTCATCCACTCTACAAGTAATGTGGGTTATTTAAAAGTAAAGGCTTCCTCTTGCAAGGGACTGGGGAGGACAGAAGATCTAAAGTCTTCAGAGCCAGTGTTCCCGGTTACCTACCTGATTGCATTTTGCTTTAACCATTAACATGCTTTGCTTTACAATTTTCTTTATTCTAGTCTATGCAAGGGAAACTTTCTAAAGAAAAATTGACCTCTCAAAAGATGATGGAAGAACTGGAAAAGAAAGAAAGAAACCTACAGAGATTAACAAAAACATTGCTTGAAGTGAGTAGAAGAAATTCAAATTGCTTTCAAAGGATGATTCAGTACCTATTTAAATTAAAGCAAATCTTATTTTGTGCATATTCATAGAACACTTTTTAATTGAAGACTTAATTTTGATGTGCCAATTAATTATAAATCCATTTGGTTTCTTACTAAAATTATAATCAAAAATACAAACTTTTATTTTTCTTATATCTTAGAATACAATTTTACAGACTTAACTACAACAAAAGAAATGTTATATGGAGATTAGGTCCCAAAGTCTTCGAATAAGGCATAAATTGAATATAAACAAAATTATCCTTGAAAATCCTTAAGGAAGGTACATTGTTGACTCTTCATCATTGGAACAGACCACACTTTCTTCAGTTAATTACAAGATGAAATACTTGGCTTGCATTTAAGGACATGTTATTCAAAAAATACTTATTTTAGTTTTTTAACCATCATCGTGACATTTTTCCTCTAAATACTTAAGAATGCATCCCCAAAAGTTAGGGAGATTTTCCTGTATAACCATACCACCATTGTCACAGCCAATAAAAATAATATTCCTTGATACTTGATAATACCAAGTCTGCAGTAAAATTTCCCCACTTCTTCCCCAAATGTTTTTTATAGTGTTTGTTGAAACCAGCATTCAGTCAAGGACCATAAGTTGCATTTCATTTTGTCTTATAAATCTAAGGTCACTTTCTTCTCCCATGTTAGTGACTTGTTGACGAAACTGGGCCTGTTGTCTTACAGACTTGTAGATTGTCAGACCTTCTGGATTTGTCTGATTGCTTCCTCATGGTGTCATTTATCTTGTTCTCTACCCCCTCTATTTCTTTTTTTTTTTTTTGCTGAGGAAGACCAGCTCTGAGCTAACATCTATTGCCAATCCTCCTCCTTTTTTTCCTCAAAGCCCCAGTGGATAGTTGCATGTCATAGTTGCACATCCTTCTAGTTGCTGTATGTGGGCCGCCGCCTCAGCATGGCTGGAGAAGCGGTGCGTCAGTGCACGCCCGGGATCTGAACCCCGGGCCGCCAGTAACAGAGCGCGTGCACTTAACCACTAAGCCACGGGGCCATCGCCCCCCGCCCCACCTCTATTTCTTGTAAGCTAGAAGTTAGAGCTAAAGATATCATTAGGTTCAAGTCAAACATTTTTTGGCATGAATACTTTGTAGGTGTTGTTCACATCATCAAATTATCTGTGTCTGGTTATCCCACTGTAAGTGAGACAAATACTGATCTCACTGGGTTTAAGATTTTGACAGACTGATTCTTTCATTGTAACGTTATAGCCTCTGCAAACAGCAAGTCATCTGTGGGGTGATATATAGGCAGCTGTGTGAATATGCAGTTTGCCAGCACCCTCTCCTGTGATGATTTTAGTATTTACTGATGATCATTGTCTGAATCATTAGATGATTAAAAGAATGATATATTTTTTTTCTAATCACATCATTTCACTTACATTTATTAGCTGGTATCCCTCTGTTAAAAAAATCTTTTCTTCAGCAACGTGCAGTCTATTTGGTTATTCTTAAATACAGTACCAACTGGAAAGCTAATTAAATTTACCTTTAATTAGCAATTTCAGGATGAAGAGTAGATGATGACAGTTTTGGCGATGAGGTGAGGGTAACTTTTTCTGAGAGTAATAAATAACGAGTTCACATTGATACTTCCAACTCAAATTTAACAATTCAGAGTTGTTTCGGTTTTTTTTTCTTCTTTGATTTTTATACTTGTATTTCTTTTTCTCTTAACACTGAAAATATTGGTTCTAACATTAACATAATAACTTATATTCTTTTTTCTCAATATACAAAAAATACTTTCAAAGTAACAATCACTATTGCTACTAACAATAAAACTACAGGATGAGGTTTAAAGTTTCTTCTTAGTTCTTTTTGTTTTGGGAATAAATTTCATTATTGAAAAATACGTACACAACAAAGATGCTCATGATGTGAGAGCTTGAGAGACTCCTAGAAACTGAGACTATTTGGATTTATGTTTTCTCTCAGGTTTACCGGAGAGCTTCACAGGGCACAGAGGAACAATTTCCATTACTTAAATTATTTCTATCTTTTTTTTCCTACTGTGTGTATGCAGTTAAATTTGGCTCCCCTGTTTCATGTATAGACTTTGAGCAAAATGTTAACCTGTATGTTTTAGAGTACCTTTCCTCTGTTCTGACTGCCTGATTTTTGTTTTCTTTATCCACTGCAGAACCAAAGACAAGCAGAAGAGACATGCTCTTTATTGGATCAGGGCCAGGAAGCTGACCAATCCAGGCAACAGACAGTTCTTTCCAAACGGCCACTGTTTGATTTGAGTGTGATTGATAAGCTGTTCAAGGAGATGTCCTATTGTTTGTTTGACTTGAAGGCGTTGTGCAGTATTCTTAATCAGCGTGCTCAGGGCAAGGAGCCTAATCTGTCATTATTACTGGGAATCAGATGTAAGTGGCTGATGACTTGTCCTTATTGTGTTGCTTAACAATTAAGAACCTGTCTTCATGAATCAGGAACTTCTGATTGCCTTTTCTCCATTTGTTTTTAGTCTCCTCTCATACTTAGATTTATAAATCTCTGATTCATTCTGCGGGTCTGTGAATACCTGTTATTACTTCATTGCTAGACCTTACCTCATTATACTTATAGAAGTGAACTGGGTATTGGTTGATAGAACACCTCCAACTCTGCCTGTGTGGATGAGCTGCACTGAATCTGTGAATTATGCGACTGGAGTGTAGTTAGGTGTGATTTCCTGATTACTCTTCTAGAAGTAATGATTCTATTTGCTTTCTTGTGGTAATTGTATAAATTAATGACCCAGCCACCTGTCCACTGTAAACTATTTGAGAGGAAATACTCACTTGCTTTCCTGTGCAGTGTATGTTCTGTGGCAATTGCTTAATGTACGTGCCAATGCTGTCACATGAGCCAGTCTTCGTAGCCCACAGATCTGTTGCCTTTGTCATGCGTGTCTGCTGGCTTTGTCCCTCTCAGAGTGACATCCACCCATTCTGCCTCAGTTCTGCCTTCCTCCACACATAGTGGTGAGAGCTGCCACAGGAATATCCTAGTGTCCCTTCCCTTCTGAGCTACTTTTGTGGGAATACTCATCTCTTCATGTGGTTCTAAATTGTTATAATATTGACACGTTGGTCTCTTTTTAATACAGAAGAAATAGACTTTAGTAAGGACATATGAGTGGAATAAGACCATAAGGTTTATGCATCAACATGTTGTATTGAGTAATTGCCTAGGAATCTGGTTAATATGTGACTAGAGTGGGAACTAGTTTTGTTTCCAGTTTCATCAAAAAGATTCCACCATCTTGTGTCATAATAGTTATTTTAGCAAACCAAATGATACTCTTGATCAAAGTAGATCAGTTGTTAAGTGAAACATGTAACTGTGCTCAGAGATGTCAGCAGGATTTCCCCTCCACTTCATAGATGTGTGCACACACATATGCGTGTGGATATGTAAGAAACATTTTAAAGTTTATTTACTCACTCAGGAAATATTTATTAAATGCCTTTGACAGTCCAGGCACTGAGGTGCTGATAATTCAGATAAATTGAACACAGCCTTGCCTGCACATTAACCAAATTATTCAAGCATTGCCATAAGTACTATAATGGAGATGTGGACAGAGGATGGCAGGGACACAAGGGAAAAACCCACTAAATCTGCCTGGGAAGGGCTGTGAAGGCTCCATGAAGGAGCTGGTGTTGGGCTTGAATCCTAGAGGAGGAGAATTTTGCCAGGTGAGCAGGGGGTGGTTTAGTTAGCAGTGATCTCTTGGAGGAAGAAGCAAAAGCTCACGCACAAAAGACTCATTTTCACCACCATTTTAGAGCTGGTCACCCCTTCAGTTATCTTGTAACCTTCTCTGTTTGCGCTGTCCTATCTAGTATTTGTTAACTTTTTCAGTATTAGGATAAGAGAGCTATCCTAATACAAATAAAAGGGAGATTCAAGAACCTTGCCGCATTCACCTCCCAATGCATGCTCCTTCCAGTCTTTAAAGTTTAACCTCAGAATCCTTACTTCATAATTTGGCATTGCGAAAATTTGACCAGCCAGCTAATTTGTCAAAAACCAATGGATTCTTCTGAATCCTTATCTCATCACTCCATCAATTATCCGTTGACACGGTTCACCCTACCCTTCTTTAAACTCTCTGCTACCATGTTTTCCATGATGACATTCTCTAGGTTCTGCTTCTACCTTTATGACTGCTCAGTCTCAATCTTCTGTGGAATTCTCTGCCACTTAAATACTGGTGTCCCTCAGAAGCCTTAGCAAAATTTTACAAGGACTAAGTAGATAAGATCTTTTTAATATTGAGTGATGCATGATTTAAAGCTGAACCTGACTGGTATTCAGTGTACAGCATTGTATTTCCAGTGCTAATCAAGTTGAAAATCATAAAATACCTTGTTCAAAAAAATGTGAGATATTCTCTCCATATTTTATTTCCCCAGCAATGAACTGTTCAGCTGAAGAGACTGAGAATGACCACAGCCCAGAAACACTCACTAAAAAACTATCGGATGTATGCCAGTTACGGAGGGACATTGATGAATTAAGGACTACCATATCCGACCGCTATGCTCAGGACATGGGAGACAGCTGCGTTACCCAATGATCGAGTGTTGATCCCACAGCAATAATGACCCCTTGCTAATGCTACTGTGTAACGGTTCTTCATATTTCTTTTTAGGAGCCATAATGTCGAGTTGTCAGTGGCATATGACTTGCACATAGGATTTTTTTTCCTGTGGGTTTGTTTTGTTAGGGGGGAAAAGGGATATGAGGAGATTTCAAAGGGGCTTGTCTAATTAGGCCAGAAAATTGAATTACCATTTGAAAAATGTGATAGAGTGTATAAGAAAAAAAAAATCTGTATTCTCAAACTACTGATTGTAGGACCAAGCTGTGAAGAATGCCTTTCAGATAAAGGGATAGGATTTCTTTTTATCCTGTAGTTTTGTGCGTGTGTGTGTGTGTGTGCATGTGTGTTTATTCACAAAATTATAAGGATTTCTGGAGTCAAAGCACAGCTTCTGAGAAAGGCACACACTGTTTATTTTTGTATTTCTTTTCTTTCGTGTAGAAGCTTGTGTTGTACTTGGGGTTTTCAAGTGCTGGCTGAAGAAGAGTTCCAACAGCAGGCAAGTGTTGTAATAAAAATGCAGCAGGCAAAACCATTTGTGTTTTGAACAGCCACTGTGCTGAGATGGTGAGGTTGTGGGGTTGGGTTGATTTTAGTACTGTAGATAGGTCAGCTGTTTTTCCAGAGTGATTGTGGATTACTTTAGAGGTGTGAAATTCTGATGTAATGATCTCTTTCATTAGCATTGTAATTTATATATCATAAGGCTGGTTAACGTAATTTGAACTAATTTTAACATGTCTCTTACTATTTACAACTTTTTACTTATGTTATATATATCAATGTAAACAAAGCCATATGTAATTAATGCAAACCTGCTAAGGCCGCCAATCATTATTGTAAAAGAAAGATTAACAAAGTGACTCTGGAACAATAGTTTATTTATCCAGATCTCAAATATTTACATTCTACCAGTTTTGTGTCTGTTTTAAAGTTGAAACTACTTTAAGAAAAAGCCAGCCTGTTTTGTTTATATCTAAATTATCACTAGCATAAAACAAAGTCTAGGCCAAGTGATATTTCAATTCCTTTTATTAGGTAAAATACACTAAAAACAGGGTTTTTCATAGAATATAAACTTGGCCAGGATAGTTCTCCTGGAGTACAGGATATCACTATGAAATACAGCTGATTTTTAAGTAGACATGCAATCATTTAAACTTCCAAATGAGTATTTCCTTGTTTCAGTTGGTGTTTTGGAGGACTTTATATTATATTGCCTTAGGAGCAGTTATTACATTCTTTTGAATATACTTAGTTTTGGCAATCATTGTCCTTTACAGATTGGTTTGTTTTCTTGATGCAACCAAGTCTCATTTTCATTTAGGTCAAGACGAAATAAGAGGCAGAAGGAATAAGGGGTGTGAATCAAGCAGGATAATATTGTTTTCTGCAAGAGAAGATCCCATGTCTGTTTTCTTGCTAGGCTTATATACTGGTGCAAAGGCTGCTCTTAGAAAAGACTTTTCTTAAATATTTTCAGCAGTGAAAACATATTTGGGAAAAGCCTTCAAGGAAACTACCCAGGAAGACATTCAGTTCAGAATTTGGCTTATAGACAGCACTCAATAAGTTATTTTATAGATATATGTCAGCAGTCAGTTATAATGCATTGTAAGGATATCAGACTTTCCTTCTGCTCGGTACCTGCGTCCTCCCTGCTCTTCTTACTGCTGAGGATCTGGGCACTAAGAAATCAGGGCATTTTAGTGATTCTGTAGCCCAAGGCCCCTCACCTCATAAGGAGGGACTTAGTCACTGGTAAGAATTTGGCTTTCTGTTATGTTCATTTGTTTTTTAGTTAGTGGTTTGAAGACAGGGAGCAGTAAATTTGTACCAAAAATCTGACGCAAAGACTTCTGCCTTGTAAAAATTAATATCTGTAAAAACGACCCTTTCCAGTAAAGTGATAATAGCATCTAAATGAGATAAGCCACGAGGGCAGCACACATTTTTACATTCTCTTTGAATAGAATCCCCTCCCCCAAGGCCAACCTCCGCAATTTTGGAAGTAAAGGAACCCCAAAGTGATAGTACTAATGGGCAAATAATCACTGATTTGGATCACTAGGTTCTTACTTAAATGACTCCTAGGTTTTTAGTATATGTTTTGGGGTTTTATGGCTATAGTTGTTTTAAACAAACTTTTGGTCATTTGTTTTAATCTACTGTAGATACAGTTTTGTTTTCTGGCTTAGTTGGGATAAAATAATATTTGGTTTTTTTAAATAAGTTAGTTTTCTAAAACTTAGAGAATTTGACTTAATTCACATATTTTGAGGTAAAAATTTTTAAACTTAGGAGGAAATTAACAAACTACTGCTGACGTATTTCATTTTCCAAAATGTATACTCCTCATAAAAGAGAGAATTAAGATGTGATAGTTTAAGTATAACCTGGAATTACAAAATGTAATCTCTTAAAGTCTGGAGTTGGTAAAAGGACTTAGATAATAAGTAGACAGCCTTGGAGGGATTTCTGGGGGAAAAGAAACTATTAGTATTCTAATTCGTCAATATTGAATTTTTATTTTATTTTCTATTTGAAAATTTCCTTAGAGATGAAAATTCTAATTATGCTTTGGTGAATTAAATGCTTGTCTTCTATGGAAATGTCTCATGCAGCATTAACGTTGATCATTTGTCTTCTGGGTTTTGAAGTGATTTGGCCTCAGTCACATTCACGCAGGGATAAAGTGACAGTTATCTCAATGAAAGACCCAAATGACCTGTGCAGAAAAAAATAACTGCATCAAAGGCACAGTAGTGGTCTTTTCATGTGATGTCAGAAGAAAAGGATGACTTTTGTTAAACTCTTAGTAAATTTTCAGTGGCCTCTACTTTTAAAAGCTTAAGTATTGACTAGGTAAGTCATGCCTGAATTTTTAAAAAATAAGTGTGGCCCCTTTTCATATTTGAAATACAATTCAATATTTAATGTTAACTCTGTTACATTTGAGTGAAATTTATTTTGGTCATGACAGTTGATTAAACTGAATTAGACTTCTTTCAGTAGCTTGTTAGAGACAATCTCAAGGGCTGGAAAATGTTGCTAAAATGGATATTCTACATTTCTGACTTACTAATGAGCTTATAAATTTTGTCATAGTTTAAGACATTATTAGGAATCTCTTAGAGGATATTTTTAAAGGAACTACTTTATTGGGAAAATGTTCTTTCAATGTCAGTAAGAGTTCATTGAATAACATAGCAGCTGAGAACTTGGACTGTGTTTTTATGTAGCATAGTTCAGCTCAGGCACATCTTTAGTTTGGATTATTGGCATTCTCTTATGTAGATTTTTATTATTGTAGATATGTAATTATGGTAATAAGCAATTCTCATAACCATGCTCACCCAGACTATATCATTTGAAACTGCCAGTAGCTATAGCCTTTAGAGCCAAAGTTAATTCATTTTGTTTCCATTTTTGACAATTCTTTTCACTGTTCACAAAGCAAGAAAAACTATTTCCTATTTGGTATAAACAGTATAATTTCCAACTTCACCCCAAAATGCCATGGTGGTATATTGCTGTATGATAATATTATACGTTTAATCATGAAGGGGGAAAGATTTTGGATTTTTGGATTTTTTCTTATTTAAAAGAAGTATTGAGTATATTAAGAATGTAATTTCAAATCAGTAAGTCATTAACAACACCATTGCAGCTGCACACAGAGAACCTTTTGTGCCTTTTTGCCTGCAGTAAGCATTCATTTCTATTTTACCTGAGCTATAAGATTGTCGATGATTATTGCACCTTGTTCTTCTGTATATAGACTTGATTAAGAATTTTTTTTTTTAAGCAAGGAGCAGTTATTCATTACTAGGTAGATAGATACCCTAGTAAAGATGAGGGGAGGTATCATATGTCTTTGGAGCCCAGCCTCTTCCCCATATGTAGAGTGAGCAGGAAACTCCTTTGGAATGTCGTCATTTTTGTGTATATGTGTGTACATATATGTATAAACAGTTATTTAAATACATAAATATAAAATTCAGCATCACATTGGTGTGATGACAAGAAGTAGTAAGGTGCTAGGTGGTCACATTAAAAGCACAGCAGCGTGTACAATCAGTCACCATGACTGGTGAATTTTGTAAACTAGGTTCAGTTTTTGAACCACCCAGAATACCTCATGTGTAAATACAACGGTCATGACTTAATTGAAATACAGTTATTGTAAAAAGAATGTGAAGCCACTGGTTGGCTTATGCCTTCTAATCTATCTATCATTCTTACCTCTTTTTTTGTAAAGGGGTTGGTTTTTTGTTTTGTTTTTTAATAGGGTTTACAGCTAGAATTTTGAATGCCAAAGTTCTATTTATTAAATAAAAAAAAGAGTTTTCAATGTTAATGTCTAAGTATTTTTCCACTGGACTATTGTTTGTTGATGTTGGAATTTGTATTTACAGAGAAATAAATTTTTTATAAAAAGATTTATGTCTTCCAAGTGCCTAATGTTAATATAAGAATATATTTGAAATTTCAGATTCTCCTAAATTCTCAATGATAAGAATACGCTGACTTGACTTTTAGGTAAAAGCTTTCTGTAAATACACAAGAGAATCTTGGACTAGACCATGGAGACTTCTGCTTTAAGTCTGACTTACAGTTTCTTTTCAGTTACTGAAAAGCTTTATCTCGGGGCCTTCCCATGAAGGGCACTGAGATTTTCTGATGACAGGTGCCATAAATCCAAAACATGCCTGTGTCCATTTCAGCTAGTAGCGTTTGTGTCCACCTTTAGAATTTCTAAAATCCCTATTTAAATCAAGAGTCTTCTTTCTACTTTTCCAACAGACAAAATCCGGTGTCAGGGGGCCGGCCCCATGGCTTAGCAGTTAAGTTTGTGTGCTCTGCTACTGGCGGCCTGAGTTCGGATCCCGGGCGTGCACCAACGCACTGCTTGTCCAGCCATGCTGAGGCAGTGTCCCACATACAGCAACTAGAAGGATGTGCAACTATGACATACAACTGTCTACTGGGGCTTTGGGGAGAAAAAGGGAAAAGAAAAAAGGAGGAGGATTGGCAATAGATGTTAGCTCAGGGCCGGTCTTCCTCAGCAAAAAAAAGAGGAGGATTGGCATGGATGTTAGCTCAGGGCTGATCTTCCTCACCAAAAAGAAAAAAAAAAATAAAATCTGGTGTCAGTTTTCCATAGTGCTGAAAGGTTGGGCTGGCAAGTCAAATCTTTTTTATTTTCCTCCTTCTAATCAAAGATTGAAACCTTACTGAAACATATACAAATATGACGTTGTTAAAAGGTTGCTGTGCAGGGGCCTTGACATCTCAGCTTTGATGGTTTGCCAACCTAGGCCCAGAGATGCCCTAGGAATGGCACCCTGGGTCCTTGTTCTAACACAAATGCGCTATAGCCTCAAGGTCTCTAGGAAGTTGGTTAATATTTGGATTAGCAGTATCTGTTTCCAGTCCAGGTAACTTGGCATTGCTCTAACTGTCAGAGAGTCTTTAATGAGAAGGACCGCTTTGGAAATAATGCATCACAGATGACTTAGGTTGCAAGCAAAGGTCTTAGAAATAAGAGCAGAATGGATAAAATCCTAGAACGTTTCTAAGGTGATTAGTGAAGAGGTTTGTCCTTCAAAATGAAAGATATGATTATTTTTGATCTGGTTAAAAAAAAGTGCTTTGATG